GAAGACCTTCACTGAGACGTTTCGCCTGTATTACAAGCCTCTTCAATGACATAAAAATCTTTTTTTTACACGTTCGAGACGTCTCAATAAAATTCCTCTCTGCAGCTGTTTTTTTGCACTCACCCCTCATCTAAATCTTCTGGAAAAGAGTGATAGTGTTCTTCTGATAATAAAACTCATATTCTGTTAAATATGACGTAGATGATGAAACACGGTTAAACCAGTGTTATTTGAGAGTTCTGTAACGTGTATGAAAAACGGCATCAAAGAGTTTATTCCAAAAAATGGAATACAAACAAAATAACAATAAATGTATGAATGGAAGGCGATAGAGAGCTATGGAAAAAGACTAAAATAGGAAACGGACCCATAAAGAAATTTAAGAGATTCAAACAAGCAAGAAACGAATATACAAATATATGAAGAGAAGAAGAAAAACTTTGAAAAAAAATAGTAGATAAGAGCAAAGTAGAACCAAATCTTTCAAGTTTGTGAAGAAAAAAGTATAGTAAATGTTGATGACAACAAAGAATAAAAAAAATGAGAAAATCACTGACGAACAATTAAACACAAATGCAATATAATGCGATCATTTACTGACTAGGTTTCGCCCACACAGTGGGCTTTATCAAGTTACAAACAGATCTACCTGGGTAAAGAGTACATGAGTATATGTAGTGTTGGAGAGTCAGGTAGAGAATGTTCGGTAGGTTGTATCTGAGAGTGTAGGTCCCTGTCAAATACAACCTAAACCAATATTCTCCACCTGACTCTCCATCCTACATACACTCATGTACTCTTTGTCCAGATACATCTGTTGTGGACTTGATAAAGTCCACTGTGTAGGTGAAACGTAGTCAATAAAGAATCGCATTATATAGTATTTCTGTTTTATTTTTCCATGGTGTCGGTATTTTATACATTTTATCTCCACAGAATCACAAATACTGAGGTAGCAATGTGTGAGGCGGTACACAACGTTTCACAATGTGTTTATGAAAGATACTAGAAATTTATAGGATTCAAATCCCAAATAGATAGCCTACATGGAGAATACTGAAACAAAGAGTGAGTTAGGAAATTACTCCAAGATGGTGGCAAAAACTAGGACTAGGCGGGATATCAACATGCAGGAGAGTTATGCTATCCACTTTGGACATTTTTACGATTTCAGTACAAGAAGTTAAATCGGCAGGCAGATGAAAGACGACACACACTGTGCCAGTATGTTAATAGGATACAGAGAAGACCATTTAAACTACCGACCAAGGTCGCTAACAAATGCCGCAAAACTATTGGAAACTCATTAGAGCTAAGTGGATAAAATACTTGGAAAGCAAAAACTTATCAAATAGTAAACGATTCGGTTTTCGGTTTCCAAATTCAATAAGTTTCTACTACAGAGTCATGTATTTTTTTATTGTATTTATCTAGACTTTAAGAAATGTTTTGATAGCTCCCCACGAAACACTAATATGGAAAAACTGCACTATACAGAAGGATTAAAAGATAAACTATTACGAGAATTTATATTTGAGAGGAAAACGCGAACAGTTACAAGAGGCAAAAATGTCCTCGTGGGGAGACGTCACCAGTGGGATGCCCCAAGGATCTGTACTGTCTCCCAATGTTTATAATTTATATAAATAACGTACCAGAAGGATTAAAATTGACTAGTTTATTGTAGGATGTCTTGAAAATGGAGTGATGGATGCTTATAGTGACTACATATAACAAAATATTGACAGGCATTATGTTCACACCTGCCCTGAATACTCTCACCTCACAAGCGCCTCGGTTTCTGTGTGTTGTATTTCTTGTATCCTATGTATTATTGGAGTCAACATGGTCCAGGACTGAAACGCTTTAATTATATCTTGAATATTTGTGTACGTGACCACCACACTGTGTGGTGGTAAGGTGTGAGTAATCTACTAAGACTCACAGTTAACACATACTGTGTGGTGGTGTGTGAGTGACCTGCCAAGACTCACAGTTAACACACAGTGTGGTGGTGAGGTGTGAGTGACCTGCCCTGACTCACAAATTGTAGAGGGAACACACACGGCACAGCAAGAGTTTCGCTCTGTGTAGAGCTTTATTTCGACTTGGTAAGACTACACAAAGCGAAACATCATCGTCCCAATGAAAACGTCTGTACATTGTCTTCACTACTGTCAGCAGTACTCCGTTATAGATCCAGTACCCCTTCTCCCTCCCCTCCCCTCCCTGTCATTCGTGACCTGTCAATGACCTACTCTCGCCACCCCCTCCCTTGACATCTAGCCCCTCCCCACCTTGACATTTACCCCATCCCCACCTTGACATCTACCCCCTCCCCACCTTGACATCTACCCCTCCCCCACATTGACATTTACCCCCTCCCCACCTTGACATCTACCCCCTCCCCACCTTGACATCTACCCCCTCCCCACCTTAAACATCTACCCCCTCCCCACTTTGACATCTTCCGCCTCCCCACCTTAACATCTACCCCCTCCCCACCTTGACATCTACCCTCTCCCCACCAACATCTACCCACTCCCCACCTTGACATCTTCCCCCTCCTCACCCTAACATCTACCCCCTCCCCACCTTCACATATTCTCCCTCCCCACCTTGACATCTACCCAGTCCCCACCTTCACATTACCCCCTTTCCACCTTAACATCTACCCTTTCCCACCTTCACATCAACCCCCTCCCCACCTTAACATTAACCCCCTCCCCGCTTTAACATTAACTCCCTCCCCACCATAACACCTATCCCTTCCCCCTATAGACATCGACCCCCTCGCCACCATAACATCCACTCCTCGCCACCATAACTCAACCCCTTCCCTGTTCCTCAACTACACAATCTTGGACAAGGGAAGGTATTGATTTCATGTTCCTCTTCAGGTGTCACCAACATAATTCATTTTCACGTGAAAAATCATCCTAACTCTCGTGTGCTACAACCTCTGACATCTTCCAGCGATGGATAAAATAATTCTAAAGTTTTTTTTTTTCAAAATATTTGTAGATATTTTAAGGGAATTGAATTCCATCATATTAAGTGTCCATCTTATTGAGTCCATCTTATTCAGTGGCCTCGAAGTGGTTAAACTTGTTTTTCCACCAAGGTTTTCATTTATGACATGAAAACACCTGATCCGATCGGTTTCAGACTTCCATGACTGCAGTATCCTACTTAGGAGCAGCTTGGCAGTGTCACTGAGGAGTGTAGGTGCCAAGTTGCCAATGCTATTTTAAAATCGGTGTAATATTTTTCAGTTAAATAACTTGGGTGTGCCTCTTCTGTACGGTTTTACTGTATTCTTTAATTGTTCAAGCATCTTATAGATAAGTTTGATGCCTACTAGTTTCTTGTGTACCGGTTAATTTGTAGAAGAACTGGCCTCCAGCAAGGAAACTGACCTCCAGCACTCCAGCAAGGGAACTGACCTCCAGCACTCCAGCAAGGGAACTGACCTCCAGCAAGGGAACTGACCCCCAGCAAAGGAACTGGCCTTCAGCAAGGGAACTGGCCTTCAGCAAAGGAACTGACCTCCAGCAAGGGAAATGCACTCCAGCAAAGGAACTGACCTCCAACAAGGGAACTGGCCTGCAGCAAGGGAACTGGCCTCCAGCAAGGGAACTGGCCAACAGCAAGGGAGGTAACGAGGTCACGATAACGGCGATAGTAGATTTTTCTCAAAGGATGATTCACATTGATTTTTAGATGTGAAAGGTTTAATTTGCCATTGTAAAAAAAAACCGGTTACCTTTGCACTAACTGAACAGTGAATGTTTTGACCAACATCAACAACGTAAACACTGGTGTATCTTAATTACATAAATTTTCGGTTTGATCTTGGGGCTGTGTAGGTGCCAGTGTATTAGTTGTACTGAAAAAATTGAGTAAATTCAAATATTGGATTTCATATGATAATTCGAAGGCTGATAGGCTTCAAACTGTCAACAACGATGTATCTTAGAGGAAGCGCTGGATTGTTATTTGACTGTGTGCCTGAAGACGATTCTGGGGTCACTGCCCCTCCACAGCCTGGTCCTAGACTAATTATTCTGGTTGATGGCCTGACCAACAGGGTTGTTGGTGCTAGCCGGACACAGTACAACATATGCATCACAGTCCAGCTTATAAGTAAATCCCGTTATGTTTGAAGGGAAAGTACTGATGAGTCTTGGTCGTTTAACACTTATTGAGTTATGCATCTCTTAGTGTGCTTATGGCACCTTTGTTTTTCATTGGAGGTATTTTATACCATCTATCAAAGATTTTGCTTTCGGTGTAAATTAAGATCCTGCTCATTTTGAAGGGAGTAAAGTTGAAGGGACTACAGGTGTTCCTACTGGCTGAACTTACACATGCAGTAAAGGTTCTCAGTAAATTCACCGGTTCTGTCATTTGCCCTGCCTTGCACGGGGCTGTTAGTGTGCACCAATATTCCAGTGTAGAGAGAACAAGTGACTGTCAAAATATATCATCACTGTCTTAGAATCTCTTCATTTGAAGGTTCTAGCTATCTAATGACTAGATAGCTGTCATAATCGCAAGGAAACTGATACTTAGTCTATCAGTTTCCTTGCGACTGTGACAGCACCACTGTCGTAGTCCTTGAACATGGTATGGTATCTTCTGGCATTATCACTCCTAAATCCTTCGAATTAACCTTCCACTCTGTTGAGTGGGTTTGAGTTTGTTTTGTATTCTGTTTCTGCTTTTAATTTTTGTAGTTCGTCTGTTGGACCTACTGCGCTCACCACACTTGTTGCTCGTTGGTAGGACTCAGTAGGCCTATAGTACATCAACCACTCTACATCGGTCACTTTACAACCATATGTTGCAGGGTTGTAGAGTGACCAGTGTTGTGTTGCGGGGTTGTAGAGTGACCAGTGTTGTGTTGCAGGGTTGTAAAGTGACCAGTATTGTTGCAGGGTTGTAGAGTGACCAGTGTCGTGTTGCAGGGTTGTAAAGTGATCAGTGTTGTGTTGCAGGGTTGGAGGCAGCGTGCATGAAGCAGTAAGGTTCCTTCAGGCAGAACACGAGGCGGTGCTCCAGGGACTCCACCACCAGATACAACTACTGCAGCAACGATGTGAAGGTACCTCAGCATCTCCAACCTTACCTCCTGCCTCCTACTTCACCTCCTACCTTGCCTCCTGCCTTCTACCTCACCTCCTGCCCCCTACTTCACCTTCTGCCTCGCCTCCTGCTTTCTACCTCACCTCCTACCTCACGTCCTGCCTTCTACCTCACCTCCTGCTTACTACACCACCTCCTGCTCCCTGCTTTACTTCCAGCCCCCTACTTCACCTCCCACTTCATTTTCTGCCTCGTCTCCTGCCTTCTACCTCACCTTTTGCCCCCTACTTCACCTGCCTCCTACTTCACCTCCTACCTCGCCTTCTACCTCACCTCCTGCCTCCTACCTCACTCCTCACCTCCTGCCTCCTACCTCACTCCTCACCTCCTGCCTCCTACCTCACTCCTCACCTCCTGCCTCCTACCTCACTCCTCACCTCCTCCTCCTACCTCACTCCTCACCTCCTGCCTCCTACCTCACTCCTCACCTCCTGCCTCCTACCTCACTCCTCACCTCCTGCCTCCTACCTCACTCACTCACCTCCTAGGCTCTACCTCACTCCTCACCTGCTGCCTCCTACCTCAGCTCACCTCCGCCTCTACCTCACTCCTACTCCTGCCTCTACCTCACCTCCTACTTACACCGTACCAACACTCACATAGGAGTGAGAACCTAATTGGTGCTGCTAAGTTCCCACACTTTATCGCCTTGACTACTTCCTTCTTTACCACCGTGACCACAGTCCCTGGCACCACCGTGACTACAGTCACTGCCACCATCTCCCTCTGGTAGGAACTAACAGTGTTTTCCTGAGTACCTCCCTCTGGTAGGAACTAGCAGTGTTTTTCTGAGTACCTCCCCGGTAGATAGCAGTGTTTTCCAAACTACCTCCCTCTGATAGGAACTAAGAGTGTTTTCCTGAGTACTTCCCTCTGGTAGGAACTAGCAGTGTTTTCCTAAGTACCTCCCTCTGGTAGGAACTAAGAATGTTTTCCTAAATACCTTCCTCAGGTAGGAACTGCAGCAGCACACTGCCAACACAATAAATTATGCAAATCTTGTATGCCAGCAATAATCTTCCTTCTTAATTTGCATCTTGGGATAAAGAAAGAAGTTTCAGCTAACTCCAGTGTATTTGTTACTTTATTTACAAACACACACACTCACACACACACACACACACACACACACACACACACACACACACACACACACACACACACACACACACACACACACACACACAGTGGGCACCTGTGACGAGCGGGGTCCCACAGGGGTCGGTCCTAGGACCAGTGCTATTTTTGGTATATGTGAACGACATGACGGAAGGGTTAGACTCAGAAGTGTCCCTGTTTGCAGATGATGTGAAGTTAATGAGGAGAATTAAATCTGATGAGGACCAGGCAGGACTTCAAAGAGACCTGGACAGACTGGACACCTGGTCCAGCAAATGGCTTCTCGAATTTAATCCTGCCAAATGCAAAGTCATGAAGATAGGGGAGGGGCACAGAAGACCACAGACAGAGTATAGGCTAGTGGCCAAAGACTGCAAACCTCACTCAAGGAGAAAGATCTTGGGGTGAGTATAACACCGAGCATGTCTCCGGAAACACACATCAATCAGATAACTGCTGCAGCATATGGGCGCCTGGCAAACCTGAGAATAGCATTCCGATACCTTAGTAAGGAATCATTCAAGACACTGTACACCGTGTATGTCAGGCCCATACTGGAGTATGCAGCACCTGTTTGGAACCCGCACTTGATAAAGCACGTCAAGAAACTAGAGAAAGTACAAAGGTTTGCGACAAGGTTAGTTCCAGAGCTAAGGGGAATGTCCTATGAAGAAAGATTAAGGAAATCGGCCTGACGACACTGGAGGACAGGAGGGTCAGGGGAGACATGATAACGACATATAAAATACTGCGTGGAATAGACAAGGTGGACAAAGACAGGATGTTCCAGGAGGGACACAGAAACAAGAGCCACAATTGGAAGTTGAAGACACAAATGAGTCGGAGAGATAGTAGGAAGTATTTCTTCAGTCATAGAGTTGTAAGGCAGTGGAATAGCCTAGAAAATGACGTAGTGGAGGCAGGAACTATACACAGTTTTAAGACGAGGTTTGATAAAGCTCATGGAGCGGGGAGAGAGAGGGCCCAGTAGCAACCGGTGAAGAGGCGGGACCAGGAGCTAAGACTCGACCCCTGCAACCACAAATAGGTGAGTACACACACACTCACACTCACACTCACACACACACACACACACACACACACACACACACACACACACACACACACACACGACATATAAAATACTGCGCGGAATAGACGAGGTGGACAAAGACAGGATGTTCCAGAGATGGGACACAGACACAAGAGGTCACAATTGGAAGTTGAAGACTCAGATGAATCAAAGGGATGTTAGGAAGTATTTCTTCAGTCATAGAGTAGTCAAGCCGTGGAATAGCCTAGAAAGTGAAGTAGTGGAGGCGGGAACCATACATAGTTTTAAGGCGAGGTATGATAAAGCTCATGGAGCAGGGAGAGAGAGGACCTAGTAGCAATCATTGAAGAGGCGGGGCCAGGAGCTATGACTCGACCCCTGCAACCACAAATAGGTGAGTACAAATAGGTGAGTACACACAAGTGGAGGGAGAAGCAGGAAGGCCAGGACGAATGAAACCAAACTACAAGAAAGGGGACTACACAGGAATGAGGAACTTCCTGAACGGGGTTCAGTGGGACAGAGAACTGGCAGGGAAGCCAGTTAATGAAATGATGGAATATGTAGCAACAAAATGCAAGGAGGCTAAGGAGAGGTTTGTACCCAAGGGTAACAGGAATAATAAAAAAGCCAGGATGAGCCCATGGTTTACCCAAAGGTGCAGGGAGGCAAAAACCAAGTGTGCTAGGGAATGGAAGAAATATAGAAGGCAAAGGACCCAGGAGAATAAGGAGAGCAGTCGTAGAGCCAGAAACGAATATGCACAGATAAGAAGGGAGGCCCAAAGACAATATGAAAATGACATAGCAGCGAAAGCCAAATCTGACCCGAAACTGTTGTACAGCCACATCAGGAGGAAAACAACAGTCAAGGACCAGGTAATCAGGCTAAGGAAGGAAGGAAGGAGGAGAGACAACAAGAAATGACCGTGAAGTATGTGAGGAACTCAACAAGAGATTCAAAGAAGTGTTCACAGAGGAGAGAGAAGGGGCTCCAGAAAGACGGAGAGGTGGGGCACACCACCATGTGCTAGACACAGTGCACACAACCGAGGAAGAAGTGAAGAGGCTTCTGAGTGAGCTAGATACCTCAAAGGCAATGGGGCCAGATAACATCTCCCCATGGGTATTGAGAGAGGGAGCAGAGGCACTATGTGTACCCCTAACAACAATATTCAATACATGTATCGAAACAGGGAGATTGCCTGAGGCATGGAAGACAGCAAATGTAGTCCCAATCTTTAAAAAAGGAGACAGACATGAAGCATTAAACTACAGACCAGTGTCACTGACATGTATAGTATGCAAAATCATGGAGAATATTATCAGGAGAAGAGTGGTGGAACACCTAGAAAGAAATGAGCTCATCAACAGCAGCCAACATGGTTTCAGGGACGGGAAATCCTGTGTCACAAACCTACTGGAGTTCTATGACATGGTGACAGCAGTAAGACAAGAGAGAGAGGGGTGGGTGGATTGCATATTCTTGGACTGCAAGAAGGCGTTTGACACAGTTCCACACAAGAGATTGGTGCAAAAACTGGAGGACCAAGCAGGGATAACAAGGAAGGCACTACAATGGATCAGGGAATACTTGTCAGGAAGACAGCAGCGAGTCATGGTACGTGGCGAGGTGTCAGAGTGGGCACCTGTGACCAGCGGGGTCCCACAGGGGTCAGTCCTAGGACCAGTGCTGTTTCTGGTATTTGTGAATGACACGACGGAAGGAATAGACTCTGAGGTGTCCCTGTTTGCAGATGACGTGAAGTTGATGAGAAGAATTCACTCGATCGAAGACCAGGCAGAACTACAAAGGGATCTGGACAGGCTGCAGACCTGGTCCAGCAATTGGCTCCTGGAGTTCAATCCCACCAAGTGCAAAGTCATGAAGATTGGGAGGGCAAAGAAGACCGCAGACGGAGTACAGTCTAGGGGGCCAAAGACTACAAACCTCACTCAAGGAAAAAGATCTTGGGGTGAGTATAATACCAGGCACATCTCCTGAAGCGCACATCAACCAATTAACTGCTGCAGCATATGGGCGCCTAGCAAACCTCAGAACAGCATTCCGACATCTTAATAAGGAATCGTTCAGGACCCTGTACACCGTGTACGTTAGGCCCACATTGGAGTATGCGGCACCAGTTTGGAACCCACACCTAGCCAAGCACGTAAAGAAACTAGAGAAAGTGCAAAGGTTTGCAACAAGACTAATCCCAGAGCTAAGAGGTATGTCCTACGAGGAGAGGTTAAGGGAAATCAACCTGACGACACTGGAGGACAGGAGAGATAGGGGGACATGATAAAGACATACAAAATACTGAGAGAATTGACAAGGTGGACAAAGACAGGATGTTCCAGAGATTGGACACAGTAACAAGGGGACACAGTTGGAAGTTGAAGACACAGATGAATCACAGGGATGTTAGGAAGTATTTCTTCAGCCACAGAGTAGTCAGTAAGTGGAATAGTTTGGGAAGCGATGTAGTGGAGGCAGGATCCATACATAGCTTTAAGCAGAGGTATGATAAAGCTCACGGTTCAGGGAGTGACCTAGTAGCGATCAGTGAAGAGGCGGGGCCAGGAGCTTGGACTCGACCCCTGCAACCTCAACTAGGTGAGTACAAACACACACACACACTCACACACACACACACACACACACACACACACACACACACACACACACACACACACACACACACACACACACACACACTAGAGGGAAAACGATCTCAAAGTGTTCTAAGTTAAGATTGAGGGACTCAAAGTAGTATTTGCAGTTATACACAACCCACCACCTAATAACAGAAGAAGAAGTGATCATTACTTATCTGGGTATCCAACAACTTCAACAAGAACAACGGCTTCTATAACATAGCTAAACCCCTTGCCAAGAAACTTCTTCATCGCTATCCCACATACGAACAAAAGAATGGAGGAACACTGCAGAAGGTCTATTCATATACTTATCCAATCTCTCTTCAGAGCTACCCAAGGTTTTAGATTCTATGACCCTACTCGGTAGATTGTCACATGAAGCATTCTCCACCTGACCCAGCATTCTCATCCTGACTTCATCCTATAAATACTCACGTACCTTCCACCCAGGTAGATATGTTTGTGACTTGATAAAGCCCACTCTGTGGGCGAAAGGTTGTCAATAAAGGATCACACTGTACTGCTTATGTTTGATACTGTATACCACAAGAGGCTGGACCAAAAACTTTAGATTCAGGCGAGAATAACAGGGAACATACTCCAGTGAATCAAAGAGTATCTTTGGGGAAGGAAACAAAGAGTGACCGTCAGAATGGGGAAGAATAATTAGCATGGTTCCGCAAGGATCGATATGAGGACCAATACTGTTTCTATTTTATATAAATGACATTCCAGATGGTACTGATTCAGATATATCCCTGTTTGCTGATGATGTAAAACTAATGAGAATAAAAATAAATGAGGACAAGGAAAGACTATAAAGGGATCTGGAGAAATTGGAATAGTGGTCAGATAAGTAATTGTTTGAATGAAACCCAGGTAAATCCATGGTCATGAAGATTGGCGAAGGAGCAAGTAGACTGGAAACGAGGTACAGACTAAGCCCTAGGGAGACAGAGGTTGCAGACTTCACTCAAAGAGAAAGATCTAGGAATGAGCAGTGCCTAGTATCGCCAGAGGCTTACATCAGCTAAATAACCTCTGCAACTAATGCTTGTCTGGCAAATCTAAAAGTAACCTTTAGGACTATCAACAAAGAGTCATTTTGGGTAACTTATACAACATACGTCAGGCGCATCTAGGAGTTTGGAACCAGCATCTGAAAACGCATGTTAAGAAACAGGAGAAAGCGCAGATGTAACAATGCTTGTTTCTAATCCAAGGGGCATGAACTACGAGGAGAGACTAACGGAATTGAATTTAACGACACTGGAGGCCAGTAGGACCAGGGGGAACATGATAACAACATACAAAATACTCAGGGGAATTGATAAGGTAGACAGGAGCAAACTGTTTGAGAGGCTAAAAACGAGAAACTGGGGACACGGTAGGAAGTTCAAGTCACAGATGATCCACGGAGATGTTAGGAAGTTTTTTCAGTCCCAGAGTGGTCAGGAAGTGGAATGACCTTGGTGAGGAAGTAGAGGCAGGTTCCAAGCATAGTCTTATGAGCAGGCACAACAGGTCCCAAGAGACTTAGGAGTGAATCTGGAGAATGGCAAGATGCAGGGCCAGGATCTGAGAAACGACCTTGCAAATAGGTGAATGTACATATGCACACGAATGAACTAGACGAGGTGGAGGCAAACACCATGCACAGTTTCAAGAGTAAGTATGACAGGGCCCAAGAGGCCAGGAACCTGTGTAAGTAGGCCCTGGAGCTGAATCTCGACTCCTCGGTAAGTACATGTATGTTCCCACTACGTAGGTGAGACAGATTGTGTCACCTTGGAGAGTAAATACTGTCAAGGTCATTCTAGCATGCAGGAGAAATATAAGCTAGAAGGTGATGTAAGTGTTGGGCTGGTGGTGGTCCTAGAGCACTGTGGTCTTCAACTTCTGAACATTCACTTTACGCTTACTAATATTGTTTACATTAAGCTGGACTTGATTACTTAAATCTACAACAACTTAGATTTAGCCACAAACACACACACACACACACATATATATATAATATATATATATATATATATATATATATATATATATATATATAATATATATATATATATATATATATATATATATATATGCAATAAGATCACAGTAAACAGGTGCTTTTAAATTATGCAAAACAACCACTGTGAAAGAGTAGTGAAATTCCAAGCGCTTTCGTGACTACTCACGTTGTCAATGTGAGTAGTCACGAATGCGCTTGGAATTTCACTACTATTTCACAGTGGTTGTTTTGCATAATATATATATATATATATATATATATATATATATATATATATATATATATATATATATATATATATATATATATATATATATATATATATATAAACTACGCGTCACGTCTGGCAACGAGGTGGCTGAACAGCAGCACAGAAACGTCGAAATCTACACGAGTGTCACTCTTGGTACTAGCCTAAGCTATGACATGTAGTTATACACCTCATAGTTCCACCTATAAATTTACCCGTACTGCTTTAGCACTTCCAGTGAATATGCTAGTTTACTTGTAAAAGTCGATGTACTCACTCATTTGTACTCACCTCTTTTTGGCTGCAGGGGTCGAGTCTTGGCTCCTGTCCCTGCCTCTTAACTTTCCACATGCCAGACTCTCTCCCTCCTAGCCTCATGGGGATCAAATAAGGCGTTCTGTACTTATTAATGAAAGTCTTGGAGGATGTTAGTATAGCACAAGAACACTGTACGTGATAGTATGACAGCTGTGGTATATAGTCTTACACTGTACAGTATTAAGAGTTCACTAAACTCGTGAAAATCGAAAATATATAAAAACGCGACCTTTCAATATTTTTCAGTTTTATTTATTACAGTAATATTTAAAGTTGTCTCCAGTCCTAAATGAAAAAAAAAATATGTAAAATTATAATTTGATTATTATTCTATAAAACTGTCAAATTTTTGCCTACTCCCCTAAATTCAATACTAAAATACTTTTAATTGGAATCAATTTATTTAATATTGACAACTCAAAATTTACATAGCTCAAAGTGAAAGCTAAGCTTACTTTTAATAAAGCCCATTTACACAGTTTGAAGCCTATCAGCAAAGGCATTTCTCCAACAGGTACAAATTTTTTAATAATTTCGTTAAAATATCAAACCTGCACCTACACAGTCTTAAGTGTCATCCTTCGTGTGGAATGAATCAGCGTTAATAGTTTGAAGACGATAAGGCAAGGCATTCTTTAACCATTAAATGAAAATTAATATCATTATTAAATATAACTGACAAACTGGGACTTATGCAGCCCACCTTCCTCTCTGGAAAACACACCAAAGCTAAAAAAAATTGAAGCCTATCAGAAGAGGCATTCTCCAGCTATAGCATAAATTCCATCTAATCCAAGTTTTATAAACTAATTTAGTTTAGAGAGAAATCTGCCCACACAAAACTTGCTGGGTATTAGCCTGGTCGTAAGATGCATCAGTTATTAATATTAAAGCCGTTCAGAAGAGGTAAACTTTAACGTGAATCAAAATTACACATTATTGTACACACAAAATTGACAGATGTGCGCCTAAACACTTGAATTTCATTTTCTGCCATTATAGAATTACATGACACTGTTTTTGACCGTTTGAAGCCAAGCAGCAGTGGGTTTTGTAAGTTATCGAAACCAATCCAGGAAACTGAGAATGGATTTTACAACTTCGGGCATATAGCACCTGCATATGTCAAGCGTTCCAAGAACCATGCCATAGTTACCGTACACATGCGTTGAAGATTTGAAGCCGATCGAATAAGACATTCTCGTGTTAGGAACGAAATAAAAACGAAACGTTGGAAGGGGGGGGGGGGAAGATGGAGATTTCATACAACCACTTAAAGATTTCCCTCTGGGGACACCTAATAAAATTTAAACTGCAGTGTGTTTATCTGTGTTTAGTGGTAGATAACAGGACAGTGTTATTTGTATTTTCCCCACTGTTTCAGACCTGCAGTTCGAGACACACCTGCGTCACGTGACGCTCACAGACGAGGAGACATGGAGGGCACAGGTGCAGAGCTCAACAAGCTCCTCGAGGAGCGCACAAAGCGCGTGGCGCAGCTGGAGCAGCAGCTGGCGGAGCAGCAAAAGATGGCGGAGGAAGAGCAGGAGCAGCACAGATGGCGGGAGCTGCAGCTGCAACAGCAGCTGGAAGCTGGGGAGCGACGTGTCACAGACCTGCGTGGAGAGGTGCACAGGCTGCGGGCGCAGGTGCGCGACCTGCGAGTGTACAGCTCAGCCCTGCGCACTGTAGGTGCTCGGGTGTCCTCTGCCCGCACGGTTTCTCGGAACTCCAATGCTCTCACGACGCAGCCTCTCTCGCGCGCATCTCGCGCCTCCGTAGGCTCTCAAGAGTCGCTGGAGTCCTCAGGTCCACGAAGTCTGGGTTCTGAAGATGGCGAGGCGGGATCGTGGCGAGAGGCAAGGCTTGGGGGCACCACGGGCACCACCCGTAACCCACGGGCAGGAAGGACACTTCACACGCCCAATCCCCGCATCTCCACCTTCTCCCTGCCTCCCACACTTACCTCCCCGCCCTCCTCCCTGCCGCCTCTGGCCTCACTGCCACCTCAGAGACCAACCTCTTCCACCTCCAACGTTGTGCTACCGCCCATCAGTACCACCCAGATTGTCACCCGCCATGTCCGTCGACAATTGCGACTGGCATCGGCGCCTGTAATCGACATCGATCGCAACCACCCTCGACCCCAGCGTGACACGGTCTGACCCCGTGTGACCTCGGCCCCGGCACAGAGAATTCAAGCTGATAGCATCCCCGTCAAGGAAATCACAGTAGCGAACACAGCAGTAACACCAAAGACACAGCGACCAGCTAGTGTGGACAGACCAGCTAGTGTGGGTAGACCATAAGAACATAAGAAAGGAGGAACACTGCAGTAGGCCTACTGGCCCATACTATGCAGGTCTTCCTCAAACCCAAACCTACTAACAAAAATATTTGCAAAACCCATTTTCAATGCTACCCAGCTAGTGTGGGCGGACCAATGGTTAGCTCACTCCCTTGACGATTTTAAATCCTTTTGTATATATTAAAGTGATTTTTTGTTAGTATATATTGGACAACTTGGTGCTGTGCGACCCATTCGGATTTAGTGCTTTCTTGTGAATACAGCAAAAGATATAACTACAAAACAAAGATATTTTTACCCCATAGTGTACTTGATCCTGACCCGCACACATCAGTGTGGCCTGTCACCTTGATATAGCTGTGTCGCCCGAGTATCGTGATATAAAGGGAAGTGTGACCTAGGAAAGGTGTAAAGTTTTGTCACCGGGAAATGACAAAACTTTCAAGTTCCAGGCTGGACGCGACCCACCGATGATGTGACCTTGTCCACACTCTGGAATCACGTACGTACGTGTCCATGTGGGGAGGGAGGGAAGGGAAGGGGAGTGGGGGGAGGGAAAGAAAGAAGTATATGGGAATTAATAGTCTGTCAACTAATGCATTTTGAGTCGATGACCTCAGAACATAACAGATGTTATTTTTCACTAGTAACTAGTTTGTGATACGTGTTATCTATATTTATATTGACATTAAAGTTTAACTACAGATGCTCGACTTGTATAGTGTTCACCGTGTCAGGTGAGACGAGCCTCATTACCAGTGCATTCATGAATGCGGCCAGTGGTGTTGGTGTTTACGCATGTCTTATATAATGGTCTACCGTCACAGACATAGCAACGTTACAGTATTATAATATGTATTATATGTATGTATATATATATATATATATATAATATATATATTTTATATATATATATATATATATTATATATATTATTATATATATATATATATATATATATATATATATATATATATATATATATATATTATATATATATATATATTATATTATATAATATATTATATATATATATATATATATTATATATATATTATATATTATATATATATATATATATATATATATATATATATATATATATATATATATATATATATATATATACATACATATATATATAATGTATATGTATATATGGTGAAGATTGAGACACTTATGCAACATATGGGAATCTTTATTCAGGAAACGTTTCGCCACACAGTGGCTTCATCAGTCCGATACAAAGTAGAAAGGCGTAAGGAGAGGAGGAGTTTGAGGTAATCAGCCCCTCAGCCTGGAGTCGATGTGTTCAGTCCATCAATCTTGTAGAACTGATGGACTGAACACATCGACTCCAGGCTGAGGGACTGATTACCTCAAACTCCTCCTCTCCTTACGCCTTTCTACTTTGTATCGGACTGATGAAGCCACTGTGTGGCGAAACGTTTCCTGAATAAAGATTCCCTTATGTTGCATAAGTGTCTCAATCTTCAACTTGTCGGTTTTTCAAACCATTCATCACACACATGTAAATATGGTGTATGCCGAGTAAGCCGAACTTGCTGAATAGGCAGAACTCCCTTAAAAATTGGACTTGTCCCAAAAAATTTTCCAACATTGATAGATAAATATTTTTCATTGACAATGATACAAAATGTTTTATTTTTGGACCTCACCTAACCTAACTTTAACTAACGTAAGTAGTTTTTTTAAGCTAAATTCTGCTATGTATAGAATAGATCAATTGAAATTTATTTATTATTATTTATATACATGCAGCAGGGATGTGTGAGCGTGTTAGATAGGAGTGAATGAAGACGAATGGTTCTCGGGTCCTGACGAGCTGTTGGAGTGTGAGCAGGGTAATATTTTGTGAAGGGATTCAGGGAAACTGGTTAGCTGGACTTGAGTCCTGGAGGTGGGACGTACAATGCCTGCACTTTAAAGGAGGGGTTTCGGATGTTGGCTGTTTGGAGTGACTTTTAACCTGTCGTATTTGAGTACCTCTGCAAAGACGGTGAATATGTGTGAATAAAGGTGAAAGTTTTTTCTTTCTTTTTAGGCCCACTTTGCCTCTGTTTGCGATGGCTGAATAAAATATACAGTAAAATTAAAATTATATATATATATTTTATAATTTTAATATATATATATTTTATATATATATATATTTTATATATATTATATGTGTGTGTGTGTGTGTGTGTGTGTGTATATAATATATATATATATATATATATATATATATATATATAAAATATATTATATATATATATAATATATATGTGTGTATGTATGTATTATGTTGTGCATATTAACCCAAATCTGACAAGTTTTTTCTTATATAGCAAAGGTGTTCTCTGCCGAATTAGAAGAATGAAAATCTGTTTTTGCCATAAATCAGCGTAAATCTCTCTGAACATTATACTATATATGTATATATATTATGTATATGTATACAATAAGGTGATATCACAATATGCAAAACAATCCCTGTGAAAAAACAGTCCCAAGTCCTTTCGTGATTTCTCACGCTATCAGTTCTTTGATAATGTGAGAAATCACGAAAGCGCTTGGAAATTCACTATTTTTTTCACAGGGATTGTTTTGCATATTGTGATATCACCTTATTGTATACATATACATAATATATATATACATTTATAGTATAATTTTCAGAGAGATTTATGCTGATTTATGGCAAAAACAGATTTTCATTCTTCTAATTCGGCAGAGAACACCTTTGCTATATAAGAAAAAAACTTGTCAGATTTTTCTTAATATGCAAAAACATATAACATACATACATATATATATATATAATATATATAATATAATTATATAATTTTTATATATATATATATAATTACAATAACATATCGGATGGCGTTTTAAATGTAATTTTAATTAAAAATAAAATTATTTTTTTATGAGAGAACTGAAACTGTCAACTTAAATGGTCTCTTACTGCAATACTTGTCTAAGTAACAAATAAGTGAAACGATAATTTGTTGTTTGTTGTGACTTTGCGAGCCATTTTCACTTGTGAATTTCATTTATCATATTATAAATATACAACACCGACAAGCTGAGTGAGACATGTGTAGTAATGTTTCATCTGCTCAGCAGGCTTCTTCAGTCGAATAGAGCGATCATAAATGTAGACAGTAAAAGTGGAGAGGTAATTTTGAGGTGGTCAGTCCCTCAGTCTTGATAGTGCTCAATTCCTTAGTGTAAAGCAGAGGCATGTGGCCAGAGACTTGCATATTGGAGCTAGAAGTGAGGTGTAGCAGCTGGAGATGACATCACTGATGTGCAGGGCCCACTAGTGGAAGTAAGTCATACTAAACATTGTAAGTAACCGAACTGGATAAGACATCCCACATTTCAAGATACCAGAGTGTGGCTGAGACAAATATTAAGTACCATTTATAATAGACTATTTGAATGATGCAGCCACACCATGTCATCTTGGGTACAAGATGACATGATTAGCATGACCTACTTGCACTTGTGGGGTCCTGCTCACCTGTGACATTCTCTCCAGCTGTTTCTCAATTCTAGTTCCGATATGCAAGTCTCTGACCTCATGCTTGTAGTCTAAACTAAGAGACAGACTACCAATGAAAGCTGAAGAACTGATCACCATAAAATTACCTTCCACTTCTACTGTCTACAATGCTATGATTGCCTATAATCGACTGAAGAAGCTTGCTGTGCAGGCAAATCATTTCATCAATAAATATAAATAAAAGTTATGCATGTCTTACAAAATTAATTTTCTTTTACTGCAGTAACTAGCCTTCTGTCAGTGCAGTATAAACATACCTATGGAAGGACATACAATTGAATTACATTCCCACTTACACTGTCCAAAGACAAATGTGTACAAAAAAAAAATTCAAATTTATTCCGAGTTTCTTCCCAACATTGCAGTCTTATCACAGTACAAAAGTGCAATTATAACCTATGTATATGGAATCGCACTTTAAATTTTGAAGTATATCACTGTTTTCTGTTTTTTTCTTACATAAAGTGAACTGTACATCTCTTGTTTCTTATTACTACTACAGTAATTGTACTGTGCAAATTTAATGATTAGTATTGATTTTAGTTCATTTTGGTAATGTACCCACTACATAATCTAGATTAATTTTTCATTTGGACAGTTTTGTTTCCTAAGTGAGGAATTGTGCCTAGTCGGGCCTTAGTCAGGGAGGTGGTTTTTATATGTTTGGTTCAAATAAATTTTACACAGGCTCTTTTTTTTTCAACCTTCCATGATCAGTGAAAAAAGGCAATATTTATATCTGGAAATATTATAGGAAAGACCCACATTTAGGAGGTACAAAAACTGCAAGAAATATTTTTATCAGGCTACAAGTCTTCAGATGATAAATTTAATTATGGAAATAAGCATACAATTTTTTTAGCAACTACCAAATTAAGCCAAGGTGTAAATCCTAGATGATATATAAATTTCATGGTGAGCCCTACCTATCTGAGACATCACAAAGAAGTACACATAGTGGTAAATGTACAAATATCAGAAACCCTTGTGGGTTTAGCATTTAGTTTTGATTGTAACAACAATAATAATTAATATGAGAGTATATGCATGTAAATGTATATGTATAAAAATGGCAAAATGTTGCAAAAATTAGTGGTTGTCAACTTGTCACTAAACTTTACATGACCTCTCTACCTTCGATGTGGCCTTCACACACTGCTTCCCACATTGCTAAATCACATCAACACTACCCGCATGATGACATCTATATTCATGTGGTTTAACACTTAACACCCTATAATGCTGGTCGTTCTCTTGCATCTCTTCTATCTTATTTGGTTCCCAGGGGTTCTCCCTCTTTAATGGATAAATGCAGTTGTCCTCTTTCATGAACAGATACTATTGAGTCACAATCCCTCTCATTACATACCCATCACTCATACTACTGCAATTTATAAGTTGTTGGAATGTGTGGTTAACAAACGTTTAGTATGGCACTTAGAAGCTCGAAATTTTCTCCTCGCTCATCAATTTGATTCTTGTAAGGATCGTTCTACCATCTACTGCAGTGCCTTCACTGTTACGTATCAATCGGTTATTACAGTCTTTTTCTACTTATAAAACCATTATGATACTACCTGGTGTTACATCATAGTCCAAACTTCAATGGTATACAATACCGACAATATGAATTAGACACGTGAAATCTCTAGGTATCTTCAAGACTTCAGTGCTCATCACCTGCTACTAGGTTGAGGGACTGATTACCTCGTCTTCCACTGTCTTCTGTATATATTTCTAGTCTTCACATTATGACCAAGTATTGTATTGATAAAGCCACTGGATGGCAAAATGTCTGCGAATTAAGGGTACCCAGATGTTGCACATAAATATGTCAATTCATCACATAATCAACGCCCATTCCTCGAGCCTCCGAGACAATTTTTTCTCACTCTTCTTTGGAGATTTATTATCAAAGAGGCACATTCATGTCTGGGTAACTTACAGCTTTGGCCCTGACCCCTCAGGGAAGGTTCCTTGATGTTGGTGAGGGGCTCTTGATTTAGGGAATTGGATCTGTGCTCCAGTTCCCCGAATTAAGCCTGAATGCCTTCCACATCCTCCCCCCCCCAGGCGCTGTATAATCCTACGGATTTAGCGCTTCCCCTTGATTATAATAATAATAATAATTTGGCCCTGACTCTGTACAAGTTAAAGATGTATTTGAAGGCTGAATGCTCAGTACTATCACCATTAATGACCTATTTCAAATGTAGACGATTTGGTATTGTGAAGGTGCCGACCGTCAGCTGTAGCAGCCTTTCTCCAGTACGCTGTTGAACGTGCTTCCAACTGGGCCACCTCTCATAGGTTGCGCCACCTCTCTAGGTTAAGTCTTCGGTTGCTAAAACGATCCGGATAACATCACAAGACACCCTATTATTCAATCATGCCTGTATGGCTCCCATATCCCTGATCAAGATACGGTAAAAACTGTCGGTCTTATGTATGATCATCGAATGTCGTGCAAGTTTTTCATAACCTTCCTAAATGCTGCCTGTCAGCCAAAAGAACCTCCTTAATACTTTAGTCCGTCTTGGGAGCCGATAAACAAACCGTTCTTCACCTGTATTCAGCCCTAATCTTATTTAGATTACGGTGCCCACTTGCATTCTTCAACCTCCTTCTGCTACTCTGTATAAACTAGATCCCATTCATCGTTTGTCTCTTGAGGTTTTTTAATCTTTCCAGTAAAGAGAAAAATATAGAGGCCTATCTTTTCAACAACCACCATTTTCTCTAATTCCATGACCTTCAAGATCCTTCAACGTATAGAACGGTTATGGATATTAATATTTAATCAGAGCCCCATTTATTACTCTCATGACCCTAACAAACTGCTTTCTATCAAACCACGATTGGGATTGTGGCCATCTTCCAACCACTGTTAGGTTTGGGGAACTGCACTCTCATGATTACAAATCGGACACACCTGACTCGCATATACCACATGGAGAATGACCAGCATCACTGCGATGACTGTTGGGTCACTGTCAGTCCATCATTGACTGTTGTCTATGCTGGACTGTCTATCATGGGTTTTACTGTAATAGAGAAGGAAGGGTCTTCGCACACTGAACCCTAGCTGACCAGTGTCCGAAATGTGCAGTAAACAACCTGTCTGCTAATTTATAAAATATTAAAAGACTTGCTCTGGGATTCCCTGTAAGACACGAGTCCAGGGAAACACCCCTGCCTCCTCCCTCCCACTTCCTTACTTTTTCCTAACTATACCTTTGCAGACCCGTTTGTAGAGAAGGGACAATCCCAGGACCAATGTATCAACGAGTAGTATTGGCTGGGTGACTGACACACATTTCCACTCCCCCCCCCCCCGAACACCACCACCAACACAGGCAGAAACACTCCCCCTCCATACATCACTACACCACCACAGGCAGCACCATCCAACAGACAACTTTCTGGAAGTACATACATAGAAAGCATAATTTATGTGGCTAACAACAAGACAAATATGGTTTCAAAACACAACAGTTTACCTTAATTAGACGTGTCATGGTCTGCATCTCAGTAATATTGCTTGATGGGTGCCTGCTGGTACACCATCACTCACCCCTCACCTACCACCCACAATCACTGATCGGAATAATTTCTGAGGTTTAAAGCTTCTCGACTGCAAGTCATTAATGATGCACTTCACCAACAGAGCCTGCGTTAATCCGTAGCATAAAAATTAAAGCCAACTCTTCGCGTATATATAACGAGATACAGAGCTCACGGTGTGTACACGACTCTCCACTCTCACTGATGCTTCAACACTGACCTCTCACACCTCCACCAGATAATAAATGGTTGAAATACAGTCTACAACTAAACACATCCTATATAATGGTACTACAACATAAATATCCAGTAAAATACGTTCATAGTTTTAGTGAACATCATAATTCCTTCAGTAAGATATATTACATTTCATCAGTGGTGAATTTAGCCTAGTAGTAATACAGGCGACGTCTGTCAGTGTTTACATTCATGGGGAGCGCTAAACCCATATGGTCCAT